GTTTTTAAAAAATGACGGTGTGTGGAGGGTGTGCATAAAAGTGACACGAAAGTTGAAATAAATCATTCAATGATCAAAGTGTCTGTTTTTAGCCAGTCTGTAAGCTCGGATGAACTCACAGCGGCTGCGCACACATCCTTCACACATAACGAGCCGGTGTCCTTAAATAAAGGTTTTTTAAACTCACCGTCGCTCCAAGACATGACAAGTTGATCACACGACACAATGGTAAGCGAAAATAACTCGTTATCATCCCCAGTGGCACGATCCTCACCCAAGCGGTGTCAAACTCGCACTCGTGGGATGAAAGAGCCTCCATCCAACGGCGCTGCGTTGATGTTGGCGCGCACACACAGCTGCCCGGTGCTCACCGGCTCACATCGGTATAAATGTGGACTGCAGGCTGGGTCAGGTGGAGGTCCTCACTCTCACAAGAGTGACACTCGCCTCACCGAATCAAACGCGGGCAGCCGTCAACCACCGCGTCTCAGCGTTCAGCAGCTCACGGTAGCATAAGCGTGAGGCAGCTGAACGAACCCGGTGACGAGTCCCGCCTCCCTCCAGCGAGAGCGGCGCGCGCCCCTCCAGCGAGAGCGAGAGCGGCGCGCGTCCCTCCAGAGAAAACGTGTGCTCCCGCGGGGCTCGCATCCTTCACTCCAACAGCACGGCGTAGATGAAGTCACGCCCTCCGCCTCTCAACGTTCGCACGGCGACGTCAAACGCGCAGCCCCACGGCGTCATCAGCTGTCACGTTTCGCCTCAGCACACCGGCCCACCTGTACATGAAGGTTGGTCCGCGGTCCGAACGCAGTGCACGGGCGCGTTCAGAGCCTTTTTTCGAGGAAGCCTCGCCTTGGGTCACGCAGAAAACATTCCCGCGACGCATGACGGCGGTTGAGGGGCGGACTGCTGACAGCCGTACAAAACGTGACGCATCACTTAAACGCACGTTCACTCCACGAACGTTACATAGAGTGGCTAAAACATGCTCGCCGCTCAGATGGATGGGCAGGGTGTTATGCAAATGGTTACAAGTAACAGTTTGCAACCCGACCCCCTCCGTACGGAGGAGTTATAGAAACAGTCCTGTCATCTTCAGACCAAATCTCATCCCTAAATGCAGAAGTCCAAGTGTTTCTGATAAAAGTAATCTCCAGAGTTCCCCAACAGAGAGAAAACACAGGGTTTTACTCACGTTACTTCCTGGTTCCCAACGGACCGGAGGGATGAGACCGATCTTGGATCTGTCAGTTTTTTCAACAAGGTGATCATGGACAGACCGTTTTTTCACATGTTGACAACCAGACAGCTGTTGTACAACATCCAGAGAAACGCATACTGATCATCCCAACACAGAAAATTCCTGCGTTTTTCACCTTTCAGGGGATGAAGTATCAGTACAACGGGCTGCCTGTCATCGTACGTTCTCAGTGTGTGGAGACAGCCCTGCATCCGTTACACAGAGCAGGGATGAGAGTTTTGTTTTACCTGGATGATCTGCTGCTCCTGTCACATTCCAGACAGGAAGCAGTGATGCAGGCTCAGGTGTTGACATCACACCTGTTAAATCTGGGCTTCGCCATAAAATGGAAGAAAAGCTCGATTTTTCCGGCCCAGACAATTGTTTATCTGGGAGTGGAATTAAATTCAACCACCATGAAGGCTCATTTATCACAAACGAGATTCGACACTTTTAAAAGTCAACTCCGCCATGTAAGACCTGGCAGAGTGGTAACAGTTGTCTCCGTCATGAAGCTGTTGGGAATGATGTCATCAGCTCACACAGTGGTTCCGCTGGGTTTGTTACACATGAGACACCTCCACAGGTGGTTTGCGTGTCTGCGTGTGGATCCAGTAAAACAAAAGAGACGGATGATCACTGTCCCTCCCTCCATGAGAGCAGACCTCCGACACTGGGGAAACACCCTGGTTCTGTCAGAGGGAGTTCCCGTCAGCAGACCCACGTCACGTGTCAGTCTTCACGGACGCGTCGCTGTCAGGCTGGGGGTGGGGACATGCCTATCTCAAGCAGTAGGGGCGCTGTGGCCCCACCACACATCAGCCCACATAATCGTTTTGGAGTGTCGCACAGTGCTGAATGTGATTCAACACTTTGCTCCCGTGCTACAGAATCAACATGTGTTAATTCACACAGACAAGATGGTGACTGCTGCATACATAACCGTCAGGGGGGTGTGCGTTCAGCCCAGATGTTACACATTGCGTGAAAGCTACTGTGTTGGGCTCACCAAAACCTGCTCTCCATCAGAGCAGTTTACATACCCGGTGTTCTGAACAGAGGGGCAGATGTGATGGCCAGGGGCGGCCCACGTCACACGGACTGGACCCTCCATCCAGACCTGATGGTTCAGACGTGGCAGAAGTTTGGGAAAGCAGCTGTGGACCTGTTTGCGACACGAGAGAACGCTCAGTGTCAACTATGGTTTTCCCTGAGCCCGCGAGACGATCCACCGCTGGGGGTGGATGCATTTTGTTCACAGCCCATGGCCCAAAACGCTTCTGTACGCGTTTCCTCCACCTCCTCTGATTTTACGGTTCCTGAACCGAGTTCAGGAGGAGGGATTGACAGCTCTCCTGGTGGCTCCTGAGCGCGTGAACACACCATGGTTCCCAGTCCTGCAAAGTCTGTTGTCGGGTTGCCCGTGGAAACTGCCGTGGAGGGAGGACGCTCTCCTTCAAGCAGGAGGAGCGATCAGGAGTTACCCAGAAATAGGCCAGCACCTGTGGGTCTGGCCGCTGAGCGGTCCCGCTTAGAGAGGATGGGTCTCCCACAGGAGGTAGTGCGCACAATCCAGGATTCACGTGCTGCATCTACCACAGCTCTGTACACATCAAAGTGGACGGCTTTTCAGCGCTGGTGTACAGAGAAAGGTGTAGAGGCCACCTCATGCCCATTAGGCGGTGTGTTGTCTTTTCTACAACAGCTGATGGATAGGAAGTTGGCATTCAGCACGATTAAAACGTACGCTGCAGCCATCTCTTCCTGCCACGAAGGGTTCGGAGACAGAACAGCTTTTAATCACCCGCTGATGAAGTGGTTTCTAAAAGGCGTACAGAGACGCAGGCCTGCTTCACGCTCACTTGCTCCACAGTGGGATTTAACGCTGGTCCTGCGAGCCCTGATCTAAGCTCCATTTGAGCCTCTGGATCAGGTTTTCACTTAAATTCTTGTCTCTTAAAACAGCCCTGCTGCTGGCTTTAACATCCGCTAAGAGGGTAAGTGATTTATCTGCCCTCTCTGTCGCTCCGTCAAGTCTCAGAATTCAGGCTGACGGTAGTTCAGCTGATAAGACCAAACCCAGCTTTTATGCCTAAAACATCACGAGCTCTTTTAAATCAAGAGTGATATCGTTGGAGGAGTTCCCCCCCCCCAGATCAGAAGAAGAAGCATCTTTTCATCTTCTCTGTCCGGTGCGGGCGTTGACGTGTTACATAGCGCGCACAGCTGTAATGCGTCAAACTCAACACCTGTTTGTGCATTATAGAGATGCATCTGCAGGTCGCCTGTTATCCACCCAGCGCTTGTCACACTGGCTGTGTGAGGCCATTTCTGAAGCCTACAAGCATCAGATTTAGAGCCTCCTGTCAACCTCAAAGCACACTCGACCAGGGGTATCGCATCTTCGACTGCTCTGCATAATGGTATGTCAATGCAGGACATTTGCACTGCGGCTGCATGGTCAACACCCTGCCCATTCATTCGCTTTTATTTACGTGATGTGACGGCTCGTTCCATGACACATTCTGTCCTTAGTGCTCTAACAGAATGAATATTGTTGTTTTTCATGGAACTCTGTTTAAGCTCACATCTGTCTGCATGCATCACAGTGTGAGATGTTGTTTTGATCTGTCATCTATGTTATATTACAAATAAAATATTGACATTTGCCATCTCTACATCATTGCATTCAGTTTTTATTTACAATTTGTTTAGTGTCCCAACTTTTTTGGAATCCGGTTTGTAGTAGAGTGCTATATGAATGGGTAAATGAGGGCACATATTGTAGTGTAAAGCTCTTTGAGTATCTGGATAAGATAGAAAAGCGCTATAAGTGCAGTAAAAAAAAAAAAAAATTCTGAGTGCTACAATGTTGGACAGGACAAGGGGAAAAAAAAGGAAGGGCATCTGGCGTAAAAACAAGTCTTTGTGTGACTTAAGCCCTATTCGCACAGGATTAGTTTTACCTAGGGACCACGTGTAATAAATAAATTACTCCCCAACATCTGCTTTTTATGTGGCGCATTTGCATGGGATAACCAAAGCCTGAGATTTAGCTGAAATTTACGGACATCTTCCCAATATGATGTTAACGCGCTGCGTTGTCACGACTGGGCCAGTCCATAATAATGTGTTGGTCGGGCCATTCTCAGGCTTTGATGTGGTTTTACAAATCAGCACAAAGAAAACTAAAGAATACACAATATAAATTGTGTTAATCTATTTGGTGAGGAGGAGGCAGGTCCGACCGGATGGTTTAAGAGGTTAAAAAAAAGTCACGTTAAGCTCAGATGGACAACCTGTCACTGGCCGCACGTGTGAGCATCTGCGCAAAAACAAAAACCGCCTAATTACATATCTGGATCCCACCCATTTCTGTCCAAATCACAGAGATGCCTATTCACATTGGATTAGTATTATCACAGGACCTTGGGAGTTCAGCAAAATATAGTAGGTAATTTGCAGGGGAATTTTTACTTTACAAATTACTGACATGGCCGATTCGCACGGGATTAACAACACAGACAATCTCCGTAATTATTACAAATAGCATGCGGTCCCTAGGTCAAACTAATCTCGTGCAAATAGGGCTTTAGTTCGCTGTGGCGAGCCCTGACGAAGGGAGCAACCGAAAGAAAAACTAAACAAAACATTGAGTCTGTGTGTACTTTCTTGGTCCTGAGGTGTTTCAAGTCCTGTGAAGCTATTAAACACAACATTATGACAGTCTTGGCCTTTTGAAAAGAGTACATTTTCCTACCTCTTGCCCCAGGTCCATAGCACACAGTTTGGCTGATTGCGCCTTGGCATCCACCATGATATTGAACATGGTGCAGATGGACTGTGGCACACGAAAATCTGTGGCCCGGCTGCTTCTCTGAAGCTTCATCTCAAATGCTGCACGTGTCCTGAAGAAAACAGCAGAAAAGTTTAAACTCATAGATAAGCTTGTGGTATTCATTCCCTGTGTGCTAAATCAAATAAAATTGAAAACTATTTTTTAAAACATCTCATTCTGAATAATTTTTGTTCTTTAAAAGGTAACACATTTTCTTTAAAAGTTAACATATTTTTATGACACATGACACAATTGTTCATCTCAGGGCTATTCAACAAAACTGTTCAGGAGGCCACAGTTTTTGAAAGCCAACAGCTCAGGGGCCGGACATCCAGTAATTTAAATCATTATGTAAATAAACCAAAGTTTACAATGATCTGTTACCTTTTAAATGTGTTTATTTTATTGCACTGAATTATAAATGCAATAAACAGAACCAAAAACCCTAACCCAGACCCCCCCC